GCATGGGCCGCCCGCAGCCCCGGGGCCCTTCCCCCGCTCGCCCGGGGCCGGCACCCGGGGGGTTCGGTTGGAAACAGCCGTCAGGGTGTTCGGATCTGTCGGCGCGCGACCAACCCTGGGGCACGGGGTGCGAGACGGGCTCCAGCCGTAAATAAATGGGTGGGTTTGTAGGGGGAGTGAGCGAAACGACCTGTTGGGATTCCAGCTGTCATTGTGGCGTCCCTCCTGGCACGGCCGCGGGGCTGGCAGACGGTCAAGGACGGAGCACTTCGCCTCCCCGGTCCGGTTCACACGTACCCAGCGATGGCTGAAACGTCGGCTCTGCCTGAAAACACCCCCCAGGGCTGGTCTCTCGGTCGGGATGGGCCTCGAACACGCTCGTCACTTTGGATCATCCAGGAACCGTTCCGTCTTCCCAGTGCTGTTGGTGTCCCATCCCTGGAAGTGCCCAAGGCCAGGCTGGATGAGGCTTGGAGCACCCTGGGCTAGTGGAAGGTGTCCCTGCCCATGGCAGGGGGGTTGGAACTAGATGGTCTTTCATGTCCCTTCCAATCCAAACCATTCTGTGATTGGTACGAGAGATCACGTGGAAGTGAGAGTTGCCCTTTAAGGAGACTTTCTTCTGATGTAATTTTTCCCCTGGGCCCCTCGCGTGACGCTCGCTGTTTTCCTCCTTTTGGTGTGTTTTCATTTGGAGCTCAGTGTCTGTTACTGAGTGCTTTTAGTTTCCAGTCCCGAAAATACTGCGCCCACGTTTAAAGTGCCCCTTGCCATCTGTGTTCAGCCGAAACGCCATTCCGTGGCAGGAGAGCCTTCATTATTAGCAGGTTCCCAATTAAAAGTGTCACTCGACAGATAAGGTCAGAGGTCAGAGCTCTTCACAGGACAATTTCCAGTTTAACACGTTTTAAGAAGTGCCGTTGATTTGGAATATTAATTATCTGATGTGGCTTCTTGTAGACAATCCCCATCTGGCAGAACAAGCCCCATGGCTCAGCGCGCAGCGTCGTCCGGAGGATCGGGTCCAACCTCCCCCTAAAACCCTGTCCCAGAGCAACCTTTGAGGTAAGCGGACGCGTGAGGGATTTGGTGATTGCGCACAGGAAGCTGCTGCCCTCTCAGCCATGTCTGTCCGCAGACTTGTATTCACAGAACTCGCGCAGCAGCATAATTTTAAGGGTTTTCTTATATTTTTCTTTAAATTCTGTTCGTAAAGTGGCCGTTGGCACTTGAGGAAGATACCTCCTTGGGTAGAGCCTGCGGACTGGGCTGGCAGGCTGCAGGAGACAGCTGCGTGGGGTTGCCGGACCCGCGCTTTGTTGCGTGACCTCCAGCAAGACACGTGCCCTCTGGGCCTGGGGTCGGTGGAAACGCTTACGTCGCTGTCTGAGCTCAAGGACGGCACTGGCACTTGCAGTGGCAAAGCGTTGCGCGCGGCCTCGGTGGCTCCGGAGCCGTATCGAGTGTCCCTCTGCTGCCGTGCTGCGCAGCCCGACAGGAACGCGCGCGGAAGCCGGCACACGGGAGTGTTGCGTTGCCCTGAGCCGCGCGGCGTTGCTGTCCTGCGGACAGACACAGAGCGGGAAGGCTCCAGCAGCCGGCACAGCACAACCGGGGCAGCTCCAGCAGCCGGGACCGCCCTCTCCTCAACGCGACTCCCTTCCTTTTTAGGTTCTCCCGAATGTTTCAGAGCTGTATTTAAATGATGCCCCTCCAGTCCCCACCCTGGCTGACATTGTGTGGATAGCGGCCGATGATGAGGAAACCTACGCCAGAGTCAGGTTGGTTTCCTTGTTGTGCCTCCTGGTCCTTAATGCACGGCTTATTTCGTGCAGCACGGGCCAGACACTGATCAGATGCTCCCGACTTCCGGTCCTCTTGAGGTCTGGTGTGGTGCCTCTTCCCAAGAGACAGGAATAAAAAATCCCAATAGGATGAAAGACCCTGGGAGGAATTCCTTTAGGAAGTGCCGAGCGCCGCGCCGTGCCTCGCTCACTGCGAGGTCTGGCAGCGTAAACACCATCTGTGGCGTTTTCTGGTTAGAAGGGTGAAGGGTTAAATTCTCCCGGGATGGACACGCTGGCCTCCCAGGAGGTTGGTTCTGGTCAGTTGAACTTTTGTCCTTAATGCCGGGCAGCAGTAACGAGCATCTTGTGAAAGAGCAAACAGACTTTGAAATCTGAGGCAAAAGGTAACAGGTAAGTGACGTTTCCCACGTGCACCCAGCGCGCTGCCCGGCACCGGGACACCAGTACAGGAGAGAAATGACCTGAAACCACGCGAGCACGCCCAGACTTTTGTCCCTGCGTCTTCTTGCCGCGTCTCCTGCCCTTGGGTCGGAGCGTCTGTTCCTTGTAATGCGCAGGGAGCGCGTACGGCACATCCGTACAGGGGTAGGTAGAGTGGCACCCACAGCCTAGTGGCACAGAGGGTCAGTTTATCATGTTGTGTTATGATGTCCTGAGGTGGAGGCAGAGTGCTGTTGTCACGGAGGGGTCTGACCTAAGTGGTTTCTCACCCGTAGGAGCGACACTCGCCCGCTGAAGCACAAGTGGAAGCCGAGTCCCTTTACCGTCATACAGCGAAATGCTTCGGTCCCCAACCTGAGGAAGCAGGAGGAGAAGCTGCTCGCCTTGAAGAAACCGGGTTTACCGGCACTGAGTCGAACAACAGAACTCCAGGATGAGCTGAGTCACCTTCGGAGTCAGATAGCTAAAATAGTCGCTGCGGAGTCCGGTAGGAACGCGGCGAGTTTCGTTTTCTGTTGAGCGAGAAGGGCGGAGGGAGCGACCTGTGTCATTTCCTCCGTGCAGACCAGGCCGGGGTGTTGCTTTTCCAGCAGAGCCATGGCTCCGGTCGGTGGGATGCTGCCTTGTGGCTCAGCGCCAGCTCTGGGTTTGGGTCTGTCTTTGGCAGAGGAGTCCGTGTCCTGCTTGTTCTTAGGAACTCCCAAGTGCAGCTTTGGGGCTGGGTTTGATCTGGAGGCCGACTCCTGGCAGCAGGATGGAAGCATGGTGGTGTCCGCTCATGCAGAAGGCAGAGTTGTTGATCTCCCAGCTCGAGAACACGGAGAGGTTTTGCAGCTGAAGGGATTTAGTCCCTTCTTGAAGACAGCTTTTCTTCAAAGACGCATTTCTGTTATGCAGAATGCTTTTGCCAGTAACCAACTGGCTGTATTCTGGCTGCTTTCCAGCGGGAAAGAAGGAACTGTAATTCTTCCCATTACTTTAAAAAACAGAACAAACCCCAGGATGGTTTCACTTGAAATGATAGCATGCAGCTTAAATCCTGTTGGCGATGGGTAACGACCAGACCTCCCCTGGCCTACATCCCACAGCAAAAGCTGTTTCGAATGCCCAGCTTGCTGCGTTGGGCTGCGCTGCTCCGTGCGCCCGAGACACAGCTCCCGGGATCTGTAAAGACGAGGGGATTGATGGCCGAGGCCCCAGGGCACCTGCAGCTTTCGTGATGACTGCTGTGCGGTCCGGCTGCCCGCGAGCCGGCAGCGCCTTTGAATGCAAAAGGGGGCCATGGCATTGGCAGCTGAAACGTGGGTTTTTCCATGAGGGATTTGGGTCCTTTTTCAGTTCTGTGCAAGCGTCGGTGCCCTCTAAGAATCTGTTCGGTATCAGAGGTATAAATCCATATGCCACCGCTGAGCATAGATGGTGGTTTTAGCACGTGGAGTTGTGTTTAGGCGTCGTGGGCGTCCCCTTCAGCGTGGTGCATGTGTCCTCTTTCTTCCTCGCGAACGATCGGAGGAACAGCCAGATCGGGATAAAGAACAGGGGAACTGCTGTGCTTTTCCCCTTCCAGGTTCTGCCTCGGCTCTACACTTGCTCAAGCTGCGTCCTGGGAAAGTCCATTTTCATTCAAGGAGAGTAATAACGAGGCAAATCAGAGATCCAGAGGGGAGAAAAATGATGTAATCATTTAACACCTTCTTCTCTCCCACTCTGCGCAGCGGCCTGCCGGGCTGTTACCAGCTGCCGTTTGAGAACAGTTCCCGTTGCCTTCGCGCCCGCCCAGTCAATAATGGGGAGCCGTGATTTAGGGCCTCGGTAATCTGATGGAGGAGATAACTGTTTAGCAGGCTTCTTTTGGGAAGATTGATGTCAGAAAAAGAAATGTCGGGCAATCTGCTTTATTACATACGATCGGAGAAATCCCGTAATTGGAAATTGATAGCTATCTGCTGTCGAGGCCAAGGGCATTAGCGCGTCAAGGCACAGTTCGTTTTCAGTGCAGGAAGGTTCCTTCAAGGAGATGTGCACTGAGCAGTGTTTGCTGGGTTTTCAGTTGTTTTCCACTGGAAATATCTAACTCATTTTCACTTAGTAACACTTGGAATTGATATAGCTGTTCTTACCCTCACTGCGTTTTAAAGTGTAAGCACATAAATCCCATCCTCCCCGTGGAATAGGTGGATGCTGTTCCCGTTTTACTGTTGGTGATGGACCTGCAGTCAGAGGGGACGGCTGAGACCGCCCAGCGTCAAACGCTGCAGCTCCCGAACCAGCTCTGCGTGTCCTCAGCAGGCGTCGTGGTGATGGGGGGAAGGAGTCTGGAGGGGAAGGAATCATGGGATGGTTTGAGCTGGAAGGGACCT